TTTGAGTTAAAAATATAGTAATAGGGAATGATATTCTATGCAATCCTCCTACTTAAGATAATATGGCAGATAGTATTGCTGCTACTGATTATTCTAGTTTAATATCGGTCTGTTATAACATAAATTTAGAGACAATCTAATTCTTTTACTGTCCATTTCAAACTATTTTACCATATATAAAAGAAATTCGAAGCTATTTCAGAACGCTAATCAGCTATACATTAGCAATATTCCAATTTTAATATCGCATTATCCATTTTTAAAAGTTTGTATTAATTTGGTCTATAAATAATCAGATGCAATCATAATTATATAATAACTTTAGCGGCAGTTTAACGATTAAAATGAATACGGAATTCGGAAGTTGATGCTACAATTCTTTCTAAATAAATTTCGTCATCGTAATATATGCATTTGTTAGCTAGCTGATCTAATAACAGTTAATAATTTACTATTATTTAATCAATTTTAAGCTTCAATTTCTTGCGCATGTACATCAGTTCTAGTCGAGCTTTTAATTTATATCCATATATCTCGAATGATTCTTGATTTATCATGAGTGAATCTCTACAGTAACTTAGTATTCTAATAGTAGACTATTGGCCATGTTTAGTATGATGTAAGGTAGTGTCTTTTCTATATTTATCTTATAATATATTTAGTAGCCCATAATTATAGACAATAAGGATAGACTATGCTAAAGTTCAGATGACTATATACAGTAAGACGTTAAGCTACTAATAAGGTTAGAGGTAGAAATAGAATTTTAAATCATACATAAGGATATACTTAGTTCATTGTGCAGTGAGTGGTAAGAATGATGTCTACGAAAATACATTATTCATTTTCTATATTGGATTAATGATGATTCGCAGTAAAATGCTACGAAGGTGTCACGGACTATTCTCCTGACAAGGGATAAAATGAAGTATTTTGTTCCCTAAGTTACTACTGTCAACCACTATTTTAGTTTCCGCCTAGAACTTCCCCTCTAGACTGTAGTTACACAGATGAACTTCACAACGTCGAGTCACTTTTACTTTATTTCAACTAGTTTGAGCAACGCGATGTACTCTTAAAAGACTGCTGAAATCAACTACTAACGAGCAATATCCT